CTTAGCTGATGCAGGACAGTTAGTTAAATTCAGTTTAACAAATGTGGAGCTTTGTCTGTGTCTCATATGCTAGCCCAGGCACCTGAAATGATAAAGTTATTGCTCCCACACGAGGGGTTCATAATCTAATGGGGAATACAGATATGTCACTACAAATATAATAAGGAGTGAGAAATCCTCTACTGATGGCACAAAGTCTTGTGGGAGTGAAATGGCACTAGTGATTAATTTTGACTTGCCCGCCTAGAGGGTGGATGGTGGAAAGGGTGAAGGGTGGTAGGAGAAGTAGAGAAGAGGAAAGGAGGAAGGGGAATAGATACAATGTATGAACTTTCACATGTAGTTGAACGCCACAGTATCCTGAATGTTCCTTTGTTAATTATATAAATAATAATAGCTTAGATGTGTGGACCATCATTATGTTGTTGAATGGTTAATTTTCTAATAAAAATGTGTTTGGCAATGCCAAAATTTTCAGTTTTTATTGATGCATTAAAATAATTTGTCCTCAAATATAAATGACAAATGAAGATGTATGCATTAAAATTAACCATGGTATTCAAAGAACTTGTTCAGAGTCATTTGTCCCCAGGATGTGATACGTTTTATATTTAGTTCTCAGGACTTTCATAGTTCTTTGCATCAGTCAGTTTGTATCTTTTACTCCATTTCATTTGTTCAGGAGGAGAGTGGGGCCTTTTAACCTATACAGATAAGTATTTCTCAGCCCTTAGATTCATTCTGTGCCCTTGGTGAGGCTGCATTTCCCATCTTCAGGATGGCAACCATGGGTTTATCCAAAGAACTTAAGGGTAGTGATTGCCCTGCCATCGTTTTTGATAAAGTGCTTCCCCAGAGAATTGTAAGTTCCATGAAGGAAGATACCACGTCTGACTTGTTCTTTGATATAGGTCTAATGCCTACCATAGAAGGTCCTCATTTGTAGGATCAGTGATTGTATTACTATTGTTTCACCGTACTTCAGGTGTTAGCAATAGAAGTAAGAGGTAGGAAATGAGAACATGATGTGATTTCTTTTTTTTATGAACTACCAAAGCATTTGTTTCTTCTGCAGTCTTACAGTCATATATTTGCTTTTGTTTTGTCTGCTTGTCTGTTTTTTGCTCATTCAGCAGTGCCAGAGATGAGCTAGGCACTGTGAGGAATTTAAGCCCTGCCCAGTCTGAATTCTCTCATCACAACAGAGAATCCTCAAGAGCGGACATCATACCATACATATATTTATCATTGTATTATAGTATGTATAGGTGCTCAGTAAGTATTTACTGAAAACTGAATATTAGCACCTTTGAAATAGGAGAGTATCTCAATGTGCTGAGAGAACCATGTACTATAGACTTACTTGCTGGACTTCTGTCAGCCAAGAATCTTAAACACTGTGTTTTTCCCTTTGTATCTTTTCAAAAAATGTTTACAAATTGAATGTATTGAACTTCCCCCATGCTGTGCATCTCACTCTTCTCCTGTACAAACAAGATGTAAAGACGGGGTTGGTTGGTAGAAAGGAATATGCTAATACCTAGGTATCAATACCTTTGAGAGACAGAGATAGAGATGTCAGTTGGCTAATGTTATAGGATGGAAAGCTGGTACCCTTTTTTCTCTTTGCCCATATGCTTTTCCCTTTTTTTCTTTCATTTCCATGTGTCATATGATAATAATGTATTTTTTGCTGATCCCAAACAAGAAAACCATTATTAAGGCTCTGTTGGAGCTCTTTTATTACTTAGATTGTCTATGGTCTTATATAATCTTTGCCAATTTTCTATTGTCCTTTCTATACTAATGACCTTGACTGCAAACCTCCAGAGTTCAGTGACTGATTTGTTAATTAGATTGGGGCTTTTTTTCCAAGAAGGGCTGAAGCTCTTATTACAGTATGATTAATAATATTGTCGCCATGTATATACATACTTAGATATGTTGTGATCCATATTTTTTCAAAAAAACTGTCTTGGTTATAGATAATTTGGTTTCCATCTGTGAGAGGAGTAATACAATATACAAGTGATTAACATTTTCAAAAATATTCAAGCTTCTGCTAAGTACTAGAAATGATCCAAGGGATACAGTGATGAGAAGAGTAGACATAGTAGTCTAGTGAAGGAGAAAGACAATAATAAGGAACAAATATATAAATACAAATTCTGGTTACGGAGGAAAGCATCAGGATGCCACACTAAAGAATGGAAGGTCCAGCTTCAGTAGGGTGGTCAGGGCAGGGACTACATTTCTGAAGATGGGACAATTAAGCTGACATTTGGAAGCTGAGAAGGATGCAGTCATGCTCGGGTGACAGAGAGAGCCATTGCAGGCAGAGCAGAAGCAATGTTTTCTGTTTGTTTGTTTTTTAAAGCCTGTCCTTTGAGCAGGAACTATGTGTTTGGGGGTGAGGATGGTTGTTGAGCATGGACATGTATATTTTGTCCCCAGTGAGTGAGGTCTAGGATCAGGAATGCAGACTATGTTCATGACACAGGATTTCTTGGAGAATCCTTTGCATTTCCATACTCTCCTTTACAGTGCTACCATTTTAGTCCTTGCTATCAGCTCAGTAGCTGCAGACCCATGAAGATAAGTGTTGTATGCTGCTTTCCTAGTTCCCTTAGTTCAGAGCATGAATAGGTGATTGGTACATAGATGCTTCTAAGTATGAATGGGTAGCATTAAAAATACTTTATGTTAACTTGTTCTTCCAGGATCTGTGATTGTTAGGAGCCTTTCTTCTGGACATTTTCAGTACAATTTTAGCTTTTCTTTGTCATATGGAGTTGAGTAATTCAAAGTGATAGTAATAGAATCGTTTTGAGGACACGTTCTTTGTTGTTGTTGTTGTTGTTGTTTTAAGAGACAGAATCTCTCACTCTTCCCCAGGCTAGAGTGCAGTGGTGCCATCATAGCTCACTGCAGCCTCAAACTCCTGGGCTCAAGCCATTCTCCTGTCTCAGCCTCCTGAGTAGCTAGAACTACAGGCACACAATAACATGCCTGGCTAAATTTTTGATTTTTTAAATTTTTTGTAGAGACGTAGTCTCCCTAGTCTCCTTACCCAAGGTGATCTCAAACTCTTGGCTTCAAGCAATCCTCCCATTTTGGCCTTTCAACACTTTGGGATTACAGGCATGAGCCACTATGCCCAGCCTTTTATGATCCATTTTGAGTTAATTTTGTATGTGGTGTGAGGTAGGGGCCCAAATTCATTGTTTTCAGTGTGGATATTGAGCTTTCCCCTTCCATTTGTTAAAAAGACAATTCTTTCCTGATTAAATTGTCTTGGCAACCTTGTCAAAAACCAACTGACCATAAATGGAAGGGTTTATTTCTGTACTCTCAGTTTTGTTTCTTTCATTTATATATCTATTCTTATGTCAGTTCCACACTGTCTTAATTACTATAGTTTTGCAATAAGTTTTGAAATTTGGAAGTGTGAGTCCTTCATATTTTTTCATCAATATTATTTTAGCTGTTATGGGTTTCTGACATTTCCATATGAGTTTTAGGATAAGCTTATCAATCTCTGCAAAAAAGGCAAACGGGATTTTGATAGGGTTTGCACTGAATCTGCATATCAATGTGGGGAGTATTGTCATCTTAATAATATCAAACTTTTTGATTCATGAATTTGGGATATGGGATGTTTATTTGTTTAGATCATTTGATCTTTTATTTCTTTCAATGGTGGTTTGGATAAAAGTTTCCAGTGTACAAGTCTTACATTTCTTTCTTTCTTTTTTCTTTTCTTTTCTTTTCCTTTCTTTCTTTCTTTTGTTCTTTCTTTCTTTTCTTTCTTTCTTTTTTTTTTTTTNTCTTGGCTTACCACAACCTCTGCCTCCCAGGTTCAAGTGATTCTCATGCCTCAGCTTCCTGAGTAGCTGGGATTACAGGCATGCACTGCCACACTTAGCTACTTTTTATAATTTTAGTAGAGACTTTTGCCATGTTGGCCAGGCTAGTCTCGAACACCTGGCCTCAGGTGATCCACCTTCTTTGGCCTCCCATAGCGCTGGGATTACAGGCTGGAGCCCCTACACCTGGCCTTACATTTCTTTTGTTAAATTTTTTTCATAAATATTTTTTATGCTATTCCATTGTAAATTGAATTATTTTCTTAATTTTATTTTCGGATTGTTCATTGCCATATGGAGGACTTTCTGTTTTTCTACTGTGGTAATATATACATAATGTAAAATTTATCATTTTAACCATTCTTAAGTGTACAGTTCATTGGCATCAAGTATATTCACAGTATTCAAAGTGTTTTGTAACCATCCCTGCTATTTATTTCTAGAATTTTTTCATCATTCCAATTAGAAACCCTGTACTGCTTGAGCAATAACTCCCCATTACCCCTGCCTTCAGCCCCCAGTAACCTCTACTCTACTTTTAGTCTCTAAAAATTTTCCTATTCTAGGCACCTCATATAAGTGCAATCATTCAATGTTTGTCCTTTTGTGTCTGGCTTGTTTTACTTAGCATGTTCTCAAGATTTGTCCATGTTATAGCATAGCCAAACTATTTTCCACAGCAGCTGAACCATTTTACACTTCTACAAGCAATGGACAAGTGTTTCAATTTCTCCACATTTTCACCAACACTTGTTATTTTCCATTTTTTTTATAATAGTCATCCTAATAGAGGTAAATACTGTTTTTAAATTAAGAATTAAACTCTATTTAACAATCTTTTTAATGGTAGAACACCTGATCCCTCAGACGGGCATATGGAAAGCCTCTTTCATTGAACAGAAAGTCAAGGATTATTGTGAATTTTCCCTATTCACTGTTAGCTTTGTTTGTTTATTATAATAATTATAATAATTCCTTATTAATCTAATTGTACTAATTTCCATAACTATTAGAGTTGAGGATAAATCTTTAATGTAAGGCTGGGCTTTTTAAGAGGAATACTTTAAACTTTTATATATATCATTTTAAAGTTTGGAAACTATAACTCTTCCTATATTTTTTGTGACATTAAAGACAACAGAAACCAGTGGTAGAACTCTGCCAGACAAGGGTGAAGAGGTCTGTGGATATTTCTTGAACCCCTCCTTATTGTCACCAGAATGTTCACCAACAACCACAAAAAAGAAAACAGAAGACATGAGTGATCTCCCCTCCGAAAGTCAAAGGAGCATACCTCTTGCTGTGACTGATGCTTTAGAGCATATTATGGAACAACTCAATGTTTTGACGCAGGTGGGCATGACACAGGTGGCATGCATTGCACTTGGGGGTAAGATACACAGAACAATTCTGGATACAGCAAGTTGCAAGTTGCAGAACTAGCAGAGCAGGGGAAATTTTTCTTTACTAGCAAAGCAAATTCAAGGTAGCAATGCCCTAAGCAAGATCTTGTGGAGATAATACCACTTAACCCATTTGTAAGGAAATATTTCTAGCCATAAGAAAAATGTGTTGGAAGTAACCATTTCTGGTTAGTATGCAATACTGCCAATGTTTATAGTTTTTTACTCTGAAAATATTCTCACAGTCCAGTATTTAACTTCTCTTATTCCATAGCTTCTTACATTGATACAGTGATCTTCTAGGCATAATGGTTTTGCATTCCTATGTTAGAATATTACCCAGTTTTTTGAGGCCAGTTTACCTTTGCAAAGGAAGAATACAGTGGATCTTAAAAAATATACCAAAATTCTTCCAACTCTTGGTTACAAGGTATAGATGTAAGGGAAGTGGTATGTTGAAATGGGTACACCAAAGAGCTCTTCCAGCTCTGCTGATTCATTGTTCCCTTTGAATAAGTCTTCTCTTGTTCCTCTTTATGTGTAGAATGAGAATGCTAGATACTAATATTTGTCAGAGTGGGCAGTAGCAAGTTATATAAAAAGATGGTAAAATATGAACTACAGAGACATCAATTACTTGTCCAGAAAAAAATTTGAAATAGAAAAAGCTTTTGCCTAGAAATTACCAACTGGTTCTCAATCCTGACTGTACATAATAATCATTAGGGCACGTATACCTGGTTCTCACCTCCAGGAAGTCCATTTTCATTGGTCTGGAATAAGGCCCTAGCATCAGTCTTTTAAGCACCCCTACGTGATTCTGTTTTACAGCCAGTGTTGAAAACTGCTAATTTAAGTGAATGTTTTTATCCTATAGATATCACCTCATGACTTTTAGAGGCATCTGACAGATTGTGAGAAAGAGCAGTGTGAGAACTTGGAGTTATTATGATTCGCTCAATGAAAATCATATTAAAAATCACTCACTTTCAGCTGGGCGCGGTAGCTCATGCCTGTAATCCCAGCACTTTAGGAGACTGAGGCGGGCGGATCACGAGGTCAGGGGTTGAAGACCAGCCTGGTCAACATAGTGAAACCCCATCTCTACTAAAAATACAAAAATTAGCCAGGCGTGGTGGCACCCACCTGTAATCCCAACTACTTGGGAAGCTGAGGCAGGGGAATCACTTGAACCCTGGAGGCAGTGGTTGCAGTGAGCCGAGAGCATGCCATTGCACTCCGGCCCGGGCAACAGAGCAAGACTCTGTCTCGAGAAAAAAAAAATCACTCACTTTCATTTTGTAATATTGCGCTAGACGTGACTTTCTCTGTATTCATCAGACATGTCTTTCCCTTAAATGTTCTTGCCCTCTTCACTTCATGTCAAATTTGGTTGTAGTTGGTTTGTTTCCCATATTGCTATGACTTCCTCACCTAAACTGTTACCTTTCATTGTTGGGTCCTCATTAGGGTCTCTCTCAAGTCAATCTTTCCGTTCCCTGTTCTTTCCGTTTCATGACCTATTTCTCCTCCTTTTTACCAGATTGAGAGCTAAATAAATCACCTTAAGCTCTATTGAATTTCTCTATGGTTTTAAATTTTTAAGGGATGGAATCCTTTTACATATTAAAAAGGTTAGAAGCAGGCACAACACTTGCGAAAGGGGAGCCGTGAATCTGTGGGCAAGTAGCAAGGAAAATAAAGACGTTCTGGTTCACTTTACAGATGACTTAATACCACCTAACTTAGTTGGAGGGTGTTTATTGTTACTGAACCATAAATAGAAATAAATTTAAATGACATTATGTTTTAGATGGTAGACAGATGGCGTTAACCAGTGTTAAAGGTGTTAATAATAAATATATAAATAACTTTTAGCATTTGAAGCTGTGATAATGTATGAAAGGTGTCTGAAGGGCTGGGCAGAGTGGCTCACACCTATAATCCCAGCACCTTGGGGGGCCAAGGCAGAAGGATTGCTTGAGCCCATGAGTTCAAGACCAACCTGGACAGTATAGTGAGACCTCATTTCTTCTTTTATCTTTTTATTTTATAGAGGCAGGGTCTCACTATAGTTGCCTAGACAGTTTTGAACTCCTGGGCTCAAGTGATTCACCCAGCTTGGACTCCCAAAGTGCTAAGACCTCATTACTACAAAAAAAAAAAAAAAATTAGCCAAATAGAATGGCACACACCTATGGTCACAGTTACCCAGGAGACTGAGATGGGATTATCACTTGAGCCCAGGAGGCAGAGGTTGCAGGGAGCTAAGATCAAGCCATTACACTCCAGCCTGGGCAACAGAGTAAGACCCTGTCTCAAAAAAAAACTGTCTAATAAAATGCTTGGCACATAGTAGGCACTGAATAAATAGTACAATGTATTATCAACATCACTATTTTTAATTAGTAATGATCTACAGATAGTATAAAATATTAAGGCAAAAGCTATTAAATAATATTTTTAAAAATTGGTTATATTCAAAAGATGATAGGGAATCAATATGTTATCTTAAAACCGGTTGACTAAAATACTAAGTGCTATGCCTTTCCTATATGTACTCTACCATTAGGTAACCAAATAGTAGATGAGGAAAATTTCTCTTATTTATTAGTTATCCCAACTAACAAAATGGTTCTTTTTGTTTGTTTGTTTTGAGATGGAGTCTCGCTCTGTCACCCAGGCTGGAGTGTAATGGCACGATCTGGACTCACTGCAACCTCCGCCAACTGGGTTCAAGTGATCCTCCTGCCTCAACCTCCTGAGTAACTGGGATTACAGGCACATGCCACCACACCCAGCTAATTTTTATATTTAGTAGAGGTGAGGTTTCACCATATTGGTCAGACTGGTCTCAAACTCCTGACCTTGTGATCCATCTGCCTTGGCCTCCCAAAGTGCTGGGATTATAGGCATGAGCCGTGGTGCCTGGCGTCCAACTAACAAAATGTTTTAATGATAGAATTAGAATACCATTATTTGCAATCTCCAAGAATAGATGCAGCCATTGTCTCACTGTGACATTCATGAAAAGAAAAACAATATTAATCTACCTTCTAATTAGAGAATAGGCTACCACCTGTAGTCTTTCCAAGGCATCTAACCTGATCAAGCCTTTGGATCCAGCAGTCAACTTAGAGAATATACAGAAGATGGAAGAACAAGCTGAACTGCACCCTGAGTGTGTAGTTTCTGAGCTTCTCAAATGGCCTGAGCTTATCAACAGACAAATTGTAAATAAAGCAAGGGAGAGGTTGAGCACCTGTAGATTAAGAGAGTCTTTAAGTGACACATTAATATGAATTCCTGAAATGGGAAAGAAAATTATAGTGTATAGGGATGTACACCTGAGAAATAAAACCATAAAGAAACACAAGAAAGCAGTAATTGTTAAGGTCAGGAGAGTGGCTGTTACAGAGGGAGGTCACGTGGTAGGCACATGGAAGGCTCTCTGGGGTGGCTGGCAGAATCCAGTTCTTGCTATGGATGATGGTTTTGAGGATGTATTTCTTTTAAGAATCTATTAAGTAACAACACATGTACCTTGTGTGGGTTCCTGAATAATCTATGTTTTATTTTATAATAAAAAGTTTAAAAAAAAAAAAAAAGATACAAAAGAATGAAGGCAGAGTAGCCAATATCCCAAAAAATTAGATTTCCCAAGTTTAACATATGTATAAAACATATATATGTTAACATTTAATATATATACATATATGTGTATATATGTAAGTATTCTGGATGTGTTCTAACTCTTTCAGCTAATAAATAAGAAGAGGATTCTTCAAACCCTGTGTGTCAAACACTAGCATAAGCATTTTACATGCATTATTTTATTCAGTCCTCCTGACAACTCCACAAGGTGATATTAGCATATTCTAGGTGAAGGCACTGCAAGCAACTGTTACATTTTCAGAGCAATCTAGCCATCTGTCTGCAGTGCTATAGGTACAGTGTGCCATGGATTGGATTGTGACAGAATAAGTAGTGATGACATTTCAGTGGCATCTGGCTGGCATGTGGAATTTCGCACCCCCTCCCCTTCTCCACTAAGTATGTAGCTTATGGCACCACTTAGAACCCTGTGTAGCCTCATCTGTGGTTTTGGTGTTTTGGAAGATCAGGCATAAAAGGTCTGATCTTTTACTGCTTTTTTTTCTCAAACACATCAGTTTGGGTTTTGTTTTGTTTTTTTTCTTTTTCTACGACTGCTTGATAATGCCTTGCCCTTGTGGTAGGGCTCAGAAGCAAAGCAAGTTCTGGGGCTCATTTCTGAGCCAACTTCTTGGCAGAAAGGTGGGAGTCCCACGTCTAAAAAGGATATTCTAAGCAGAGATTGTCATTATCATCCTCACCACCAGGGGACCAGGCATTGATTATTTTGTCCTCCTTTTTGCAGACTGTTTCAATCTTGGAGCAGCGACTGACTTTGACAGAGGATAAACTGAAAGACTGCCTTGAAAATCAGCAAAAGCTTTTCAGTGCTGTTCAACAGAAAAGCTGAATAAAAAATTCATTTTCATTTGTTGGGCAGAGGCACAATAAATGAACAAATGTACGTAGGAAGGCAGTGCAAGATACTCCACGCAACACAACCACGTGCTTTTTATTCCACAGCAAGAATACACTTACCGTGGCATTTCTTAAAAGGGTGAGCAACAGAACAAAAGGTAGTAAAGGCATATTTAAGGACTAATTTAAATACACAAATCAATGTGAAGGACTAATTTACATTACTGTCATTTATGATTGCAGTAATAAAGTGATAAGCATTCAAGCAACTGTATTTTCCCCATATTATTTCTAAGTGTCCATTTTCATTTCTAGGCCAAATCCTGCCAGGAGAGTAACCAAATCTCTAGATTTCACTGTTAAATCATTTTGGATTCACCACATTCAGACAGTCATGGGGTGAAATAATTCACTTCCCTGTAAAATAGCATCCTGTATGCAAAGAATGAGTTATTGATCTGACTTTTTATATTTCTTTCTGTTCAAAAAAATTATCCTTACTAATGCCTTGAAAAGATGAATAAAAATTCCCAGACCACAGAATTTCCACAGCAAGAATACAGTTATTTTAATTAACAACAGCATAGATATGTCATAGGGTTGTTTTACTTAATTTATGGTGTACTTTGCTTATCCATTGGCCAACTGGAAGGAAATGAAACACACCTTTCTATCACAGATGAATGTGCTGAATGATTTGGGTTGTATCTGATCATGGTTCACAAAAATTGTGTTAGTGTGATTTCAGTATGCCAAAAAGCCAGAGTGATGCAACAGTGACATTTAAAAATATGCACACGTGTGTGTATACACGCTTCAGAAATATTGTTGCTTAGGGTGCTTTGGGCAGCTAAATAGTAAGTACTTTTTAAATTTTAGCATCATCATCTTCCTATTTAATGAATTGTGATTTAAAACACAATGAAAATGAGCCAGGTATTCTAAAAGATCCTGGTTACAAAATTAAGAAATTAATTTTATTTTAAACCAAATTGAGATTAAATTGGAGAAAAGCAAGCAAATTAATTTCAGCTTGATTATCAACTTGTATCAAGAACAAAGATGGAAGGAGGTGTCCCCATTTATGGTGTGTATAGGTAACATAGGGAAAATACTATTCTGTGTTTTGGAAGAGAAGAAATAGTGCCTTCCTATTTATTTCTATATCTAGAAATTTTTCTCAAATTTCAGTTGTATCTATGAGATGGGTTTCTAAGTATCTTATTGTGTGTTATAAGTGCCTTTTTATATCATACTAAGTGTGAGCTTCTGGACATTTTCAAGAGCTTACAAAGACTAAGTGGCTTTGTATTTTTATAACCTCATTGAGAAGACTAAGAAACAAATGAAATGTCCTATCAATTTTGTTTACTTCGTCATGCTTCAAACAATAAAGACATTTTTGCTTTAAAAGCAAAAGTTGTTCCTTTTCTTTTTAAATGATTAAAACCCGGAAATACTAAACATCTTATCTTCCAGCTCACTCTGTCTTTAATGTGTGTGAGAATCATCTGGAGAGCTTGTCAAAACAGTTTCCTGGGCCCTATCTCCAGAGCTGATTCCATGGGTCCGGTGGGGCCCGCTCATTTGCATCATTCACAATCTCATGGTGATGCTGATGCTTTGGGCTGAGGGCCACACTTTAGGAACAACCTGTAGCCACTTCTTTTTTGTTTGTTTGTTTTAGAGATAGAGTCTCACTCTGTCGCCAGGCTGGAGTGCAGTGGCATGATCTCGGCTCACTGCAACCTCCACTTCCCGGGTTCAAGCCATTCTCCTGCCTCAGCCTCCTGAGTAGCTGGGACTACAGGCACATGCCACCACGCCCAGCTAATTTTTGTATTTTTTATAGTAGAGACGGGGTTTCACCATGTTGGCCAGGATAGACTCAATCTCTTGACCTCGTGATCCGCCCGCGTCGGCCTCCCAAAGTGCTAGGATTACAGGCATGAGCCACCATGCCCAGCCACCACTTCTTACAACCTAATGTTGCCACATATTTTTTACAGTCATCACAGAACTTTACAAGTTATATAAAAATAGTGATGATATAAATGCAGATGCCTTGAAACTTTTTCAATAGGCTCAATTTTCTAACTCCCGTCTTTATTTACTTACTTTTTATAGCATTTGAGGACTCTCCTTCATCTTCATCAGATTCCAGCCCCTCCCTTTCCTAACTTGAATATGCAGCTGCCTGATCAACATTTCCACTTGGAACTCTAATAGGCGTTTCTAAATAGGTCCAAAACCAATTCTTCTGCCCTCTACCTCTAACTCCCCACCCTAACCAGAGTCACTAGCAGCCTCCTTCCTGGACTTGCATGTCTCAATAAAATTACAACTTTCCAGCTGGGCACGGTGGCTCACACCTGTAATTCCAGCATTTGGGGAGGTCAAGGCAGACAGATCACAAGGTCAAGAGATCAAGACCATTCTGGCCAACACAGTGAAACCCTGTCTCTACTAAAAATACAAAAATTACCTGGATATCGTGGTTCATGCCTGTAGTCCCAGCTAGTTAGGAGGCTGAGGCAGGAGAATCGCTTGAACCTAGGAGGTGGAAGTTGCAGT